TCGCGATTGTAGTCGAGGACATTATCGAGGTAAACTATCACGCATTTATCTAAGAGTAACCTAAACGCCTTGTTCATGGTCATCTGAAACGTCGCCGGTGTGTTGGTCAGCCCGAAGGGCATCACGGTGTACTCGAACGACCCGTACCTAGTCCTAAAAGCTGTCTTGGCGCAGTCTGATGGTTTGACCGGCTCTAATCTGGTGGTAACCTCCCCGTAAATCAATTTTCGAGAAGACACGTGCCGTTCGCAGTTGATCTATCAGTTCGTCAGCGCGGGGAATTGGGTATCGCGACTTGACTGTTACCCTGTTCAGTGCTCTGTAATCGATGCACATGCAAAACCCTCCGTCCATTTTCGGTGTGAACAGTATCAGTGCAGCGAATGGCGACGAGCTCGGTTGAATAAATTGCTTCTCTAATAGGTAATCTAACTGCTTCCTTAGCTCATCGAGTTCCGGCTGTGTCAGTCTGAACTATCGCTGTACAGTTGGCTATGCCCCCGGTTCTAATTTGATCCGATGGTCGTATGCGCGCTGCAATGGCAGTCCTTCTGGCAAGTCGTCGGGAAAAATCCCTGGGTACCGTTTCAACAGTTCCTGTAGTTCGGGCGGTCTCGCTGCCAGCAGTTTCTGAAAATTGCTCGGCTGCTCTGCTTCTCCTACTACCGCTATGTCTACTGCGTACACGTTAGCTCCAGTGATGACAGCCCGTTTCATCGTGATGGCGTTGACGTGGACCGTTGAAGATTCAGGTGACTGCCAGCGATGTAGTTCAACCCAGTTACTGCTACTTCGCACCGTGCAGCTCCCTGTAGCTTTTTGTGGATCAGTACTGGGCAATCCGTCGCTGTACCCTCCTTATTCATCCGAGCCCGATCGATGGCGTGAATCGGTACTGTGACTCGGTGAGGGTCGGTGCGGTTGGGCGAGCAGGCAGTCTCGTCAATAGTTGGCCCAGACTCTACTGACTGCTGGCGTTTCCCTGTCTCTGAGACTCCCTCCCCTGCTCTGCTCCGCGGCGCCTCAGCTCCTCTGGGCACTCACTCTTGCGATGGCCCGGCCTGTTGCAAGCAAAGCAGCGCCCCTTAAATGGCGCGGCAGCTGCATTCGTCGCAACGGCGTGTACGGTGGCGCGCTCAGTCGGGCCCCGAGGACGATGTCCGTAGTAGGACCCCGGTCTCGGACGGCGCAAAATATCGATCTTCTCGGCAAGCGCGAGGACCTCGTTAAAATTTGAGAGCCCGCGTAGCATGATTTCGTGCGAGATGTCCGGCTTCAGCCCCCCGACGTAACGGTCCACCCGCTCCGCTTCGTGCATGTAGCCGACTTGCTCGCATAATGCGAGAAAACTGCTCGTATAGTCTTGAACCAACCAGAGCTGCCGCCAAGTACGCAGTTTCTGACGCGCCGAAATAGAAGCCGCGACCGGCTCGAAGCGCGCCCAAAGCCCTGCGCACAACGCGTCCCACGTGATACACTGGGCGGTTTCGCAAAATGAACTCCAGGTGACGGCTGGACCCGCGGGCCCTTCCTCTTGCGACGGTGGCCCGTAGGTGCGTGGCGACGTCACGATGACTTGCCACCAGTCCATGGCGGGCCCCTCAGTAGCGAGACGGCGTATCGGATCTTCGCTGCATCCGACTCGACGTAGTTTGCGTCGAAAAATACGTTCATCGTGAAGACCCACGATTGAACTGTCGGACCTCCATGCTGACTCGGGTCAAAACAGGGCGGCCGCTGCGGCTTGAGTGGCATTGGTGCCATGATGGCGTTGTCGCCACTTGTCGCTGCAAATTCCATGTGCCGACGGGCTTCGCGCGGCTCATGCGGGCTTGGCGCAGTTCCTCTCCATGCCAGGCATCGATTGAGCGGCGCCATCACTGGCTGCGCCTGAGCGCTGTCCCACGCTGTCGTTTTGTGTCGGTGTGCCTGATGAAATGTTGATCGGCTCCTCCGATTTTACGGGAGCATTTGCTGGTGCGTGTGGTGGCGCTGAAGCATTCACCGTGGACTGCTGACGAGCGGAGTCGCGTTCCGCCGTGAGCGTCGCAATCTCGAGTTGCGAATCCTCGTGTTGGCGCACGAGATGGTCGAGCTGCTCCTGCGTCAGCGTCGCGAGAGTGAATTCGGCCATGGCGGGGGTGTCGGGCAAGCTCAGCGAGAGCCTCTGTCGTGGCCGTGCCGTGCGTGCTTCGAGAGAGTACTACGAGCAACAGTGCTTGTTCGCTGAGAGACGTCTACCCCCCCCAAAAATTGAGATAGTGGGGAAGCGAAGGTGTGGGTGTGGTCCGAGAGGAGATCGTAGGCTCTGTACACCAAGTGTTACGAGTGCAATTGAGTGAGCGAGCGAAAATTGCACCAAGTGTTATGAGAAGCAAGAGTACAATGAGCGAAGGCATGAGCGAAGAATATATAGCGAAACTACAGTGGTAACGGTAATGTGTGGAAATTGGGGTGCGCGACGGGCCTAGCGCCGAGGGTGGGAAATATTAAATACCGTGCTAAACTTAGAAGGCTAGACTTAGGAGTAAGGAGGTAACTTAGATTAAGGAAGCCTAGGCTTAGGAGCCTAGGCAAGGAGGGATCGAGAAAGTTGCACCAAGGGATGGAGGGAATGGAGAGGATTCAGTATGAGAAGGAGGGTACAAATAGAGATGAACAAGAGCAAATGGTACACCACTTAGAGCAAATGAGATGTTACCTACACTGCAGTCTACACTGCAGAACAGTTATACAGAATATTTATAACTATATTCCAACACACCCCCTAACTGCCTGCAGTGAAGAACCAAATGCAGCAACACCCCCTGAAGGGGTATACCAAGTGCAGAGGACGCGAGAGAGGAGAGGAGGAGGTGGGCAGCGGCTGAAGCTGCAAGCACACTGCAACTCGAGCAACTGGCTCACGGGCTACTGGGGTAACGGGCTCGTACGCCTGGAGCATCCCGCTCGTACCGCTAGAGCAATAGACCCTCGGGCGACTGGAGCAACGGGCCACTGGCGACTGGAGCTGTTGGCTTCACGACGGCCACCCCCCTCCAACCTCTCTAACCTCACCCTACAACGGAGGAGGTGGCTGGTGGAGCAAGCAGAGAGGAGGGAGGACTGGAGGAGAGAGGCGGCTGGAGGAGACAAAGAGAGAGGAGAAAAGGAAGTGCAGCGGAAGGAGGAGGAGAAGAGGGGGCGACTGCCTTCAAATAACCGCCACCCCCACACCCTCTTTCCCCCCCCCCTCCCCCCCCAACGCGGCACGCACCGCAGATGCACGGGCAGCGACGAGGAGGAGGATTAGGGAGGGGCGGGAGGGTTTAAGGGGGCTTCAGGACCCCCGTAGCCCAGGCACGAGCCCCGCCACCTCCCCCCCGCAATGTCCGCCATAGACAAGAGCGGTGGCAGGTGCGGAGGCGGGGAGCGGGGTGGCGATGGCGGGGGCGCTCGCAGCCGCTGCTGGCGCTGGCGCTCGCGTCCGACGCTGGCGCATGTCGCAGGCACTGGCGCAGGTGACCGGCGCAGGCGCTGGCGGAGGCGCGTGCGACAGTCGCTGGCGCATGGCGCTGACGCTTGCGCTGGCGTCCGCGACGGTCGGAGGCGCTGGCGCTGGCGTCCGCGACCAGCGGCGGGGCGCCACGTCAGCGCACGGGACGGGGCGACCAGCGGTGGGGCGGGTAGCGCGGGGCGAGCAGCAATGGGCGAGCGCCTCGAAGGGCACTGCGACGGTCGCCATGGCAACGATGGCAGCCATGGCGAATGAAAAATGGCAAGGTCCTTAAGAACGGACCTGCTCCGACACCATGTTAACTGCCATGCTTAACTTAGAAGGCTAGACTTAGGAGTAAGGAGGTAACTTAGATTAGGGTGTGTAAGATCCGCTAACAGCTGATTTGACTGCTTTTTGTACGACCATTTGGTCGACTAAATCCTTCGCGAACTCCGACCAAGTGGTCGACTATACATTCGACCAGACTTCAACCCCATTTCGGCCACTATAGCGATCTGACAGGCTGTAGATTTGTATACCGTTTTACCAAAGGTGTCAGATTCGCAGGGTGTTTGGTGGCCGGATGAGCGACGGAGTCGCACTGCTATACACTACAGTTTCACGACCCCTAGGAACGGGGTCGGGTACAGGGTATCAAGATGTCGTAACGTCGCATGGCCGACGATGCGGTGTCGCATGGTGACTGTAGCTCCAGGTGGTCGACAACGTGGTCGACTCACGAGTCGACTGCAGGTCGGATGGCTGTCACTTTTTTACAACCGGCCACCAAATTTGGCCGGATTTGACGAGGTAAACAAAATTAATCGCGATCTTCGCCAATCTGTAACTTTCGCAAACTCCGGCCCATTGGTTTGAAACGAAAACGGATCTTACACACCCTTAAAGCGGCGGTATACATTTGGCAGGGCCTGTGCCAAAAGTTTATAAAAGGTACTTGGTGGTGACCGAGTTACAGGCCCACTCAACTTCTGTCACGAGCGACGGTTCCCAAGTGTTCCCAACTCCCCTCACAAGCCGAGGCCACTCATTGTCGAAAGTTTATACATGCCAAAAGTATACTGAAGGAGTTGCCTCCTCGCACTAGCCCCAAGCATTCTCGCCGTGAACAATTATGAAAACTAGCTACCCGGGGGCAATATTTGCCATTACGATCAAGCTTGATCTTACGCTTAGGTCATACGCCGTCCATACCATGGCTTAGGTTTTGCATAGCCTCGTAAGACTTCGCGTCGTAGACTCGCCTCAACGCCCGTCGCGGCGTCACCTCTCGGCAAATCCGCTCCCGGCGTCGCCTTGCCGCAAATACGCACGCGACGTCGCCTCGCCGCTAATACGCACGCGGCGTCGCCTCGCCTCAAATACGCACGCGGCGTCGCCTCGCCGCAAATACGCACGCGGCGTCGCCTCGCCGCAAATATGCACGCGGCGTCCCCTCGCCGCAAATACGCAGCGGCGTCGCCTCGTCGCAAATCCGCTCGCAGCGTTGACTCGTCGCAACACGATGCCTCCTCACGCCACCGCGATCACGCTGGCCGCGCCACACGCTGCGGCCCTCGTGCTCCTCCCAATAAACCCTTTTCGCTGCCCCCCTTTACCGCCTCCCGATCTCCCTTTACCGCCTCCCGATCTCCCTTTACCGCCTCCCGATCTCCCCCTTTACCGCCTCCCGATCTCCCTTCCCGTCGGCCCATTTCCGTTCTCGCCGCCCCATTCCCCTTTCCGCCGCCTCTTTGACCTTCCCGCCGCCGAATTCCCCTTCCCGCCGCCCAATTCCCCTTTTTCTCCGCCCAAAGAACCCATTCCTGCCGCCCATTCTCCCCTTCCCGCCTCTCATTCAACTCCTCCTGCCTCCCTTTCCCCCATTCCCGCATCCCGTTCCCCCCCCCTTCCCGCCTCCCATTCTCCCCTTCTTGCCTCCCATTCTCCCCTTCTTGCCTCCCATTCTCCCCTTCCTGCCTCCCTTCTTTCCCTTATCTCCCATCCCTCCCTTCCCTCCCTTCCCTCCCTTCTCTCCCTTCCCTCCCTTCTCCCCCGTCCCTCCCTTCTCCCCCGTCCCTCCCTTCTCTCCCTTCCCTCCCTTTTCTCCCTTCCCTCCTTTTCTCCCTTCCCTCCCTTCTCTCCTTCCCTCCCTTCCCTCCCTTCTCTCCCTTCCCTCCCTTCTCTCCCTTCCCTCCCTTCTCTCCCTTCCCTCCCTTCTCCCCCCCCCTCCCTTCTCCCCCGTCCCTCCCTTCTCTCCCTTCCCTCCCTTTTCTCCCTTCCCTCCTTTCTCTCCCTTCCCTCCCTTCTCTCCCTTCCCTCCCTTCTCTCCCTTCCCTCCCTTCTCTCCCTTCCCTCCCTTCTCCCCCGTCCCTCCCTTCTACCCGTCCCTCCCTTCTCTCCCTTCCCTCCCTTTTCTCCCTTCTCTCTTTCTCTCCCTTCCCTCCCTTCTCTCTCTTCCCTCCCTTTTCTCCCTTTCCTCCCTTCTCTCCCTTCACTCACTTCTCTCCCTTCACTCACTTCTCTCCCTTCCCTCCCTTCTCTCCCTTCCCTCCCTTCTCTCCCTTCCCTCCCTTTTCTCCCTCCTTTCTTCTCTTCCGCGCCGTGCATTCCCATTGTCCCCTGCCTGCCTCACAATCTATCCTTCCAGCCTCGCCCTTGTCGTCCTGCCTGTCATTCCATCTCCCCTCCCTGCATACCCCTCTCTTCCTGTCCTCCCTTCTCTGCGCCTCTCCCCCTCACTGTGCCCCCTGCTATACTATTCCCTCTTGTTACCTTTCCTGCCACCCCTCCGAAGCTGAAAGCGATCTCAAAGTGCTTTTCCTCACATGCCTTCCAAAGCCTCCTTCTCCCCCTGAGTTCCCTCCTCCCCTCGACCTGATTCCTCTCGACTTCTTCCTGATTCCCCTCATTTTCGTCCTGATTCCCCTCATTTTCGTCCTGATTCTCCTCATTTTCTTCCTGATTCCCCTCATTTTCGTCCTGATTCCCCTCATTTTCGTCCTGATTCTCCTCATTTTCTTCCTGATTCCCCTCATTTTCTTCCTGATTCCCCTCATTTTCTTCCTGATTCCCCTCATTTTCTTCCTGATTCCCCTCATTTTCTTCCTGATTCCCCTCATTTTCTTCCTGATTCCCCTCATTTTCTTCCTGATTCCCCTCATTTTCTTCCTGATTCCCCTCATTTTCTCCCTGGTTCCCCTCATTTTCACCCTGACTCCCCTCTTCTTCATCCTAATTCCCATCATTTTCTCCATGATTCCTCTCATCACAGCTTGTGGTTGAACCATTACCCTTATTTCCTGCCCTCGGATTCTTTCCCCTTCCCTGACTACTATTTCAGTGACTGACTGCTCTGAAGATTTCAAGCTTCAACACGCCTCACCCAATCATCTCATGTCTACCGCAGCTAATATTTGTTGCCAAAGGCATAGAGAAAGGGTCAATAGTACGGTACCTTGCTTGCTCCTCTTGGCCTTTGCCTATAGTCTAAAGTTATGTGAGAACATGTTTCTTTCTACCTGTAAGGGATGTGACACCTGTCCATGCATTGCACTGCTGAATCATGGTAGTACATAGTAAGCTTCATGACACATCTTTCTAGGAATAACTCACTACCATACTTGCATCACAATGCACACGAGACAGAACATAAGTGGTGACAAACCATCCACTAGCTACGCCTCTGCTTGTAATTGCTGCCCTCTGTATCAACACAGCCAATTAGCAGAGTAGGCAAAAACGAACCAGTAATGCTCCAGGGAAGGTGCTGTGAGGCAGAAGAGAAGCAACAAAGGAATTCAAGCACGTGATGGCACTACATGCACAGGAACTAGATTGTAGACAGTGACGAGTAAGTGAGGGGGGAGGGGAGGGCATGCAAGGGAAGGGAAGGGAGAAGGGATGGGAAAGGGAAGGGAACCCCAACCGGACCACGAACTCGTCGCGGTGTAACGCACTGCTTCACACGCACTCGCAACAGCGCAGTAGTGCTGGCCACCAGGCAACGACACGGGAGGGAAGATGCGAAGGCAGGGAGAGCGGTGATGGGAAGGGGGGGATGGGAGATTGGAAGGCAGGGTTGCGTGTGAAAAGATGAGAGCAAGTGGGAGGAGCAGAAAGACAGGTAAGTTGTGGGGCAATGGTGGGAGAGGAGGGTTGACGGTTGAAACTCGGCTCTGTCTGCGAGCAAGGGAGTGTGGGTGCACGGCAGCAGTTTGTGTGTGCATAGGTGTGCACAGCAGCACAGTAGCGCCATAACACCCACCTGAACAGTCAGGTCTCGAGTGGGCAACACAACGACCGCTCTGACTTGTCGCACCACGTGCCGCACCAGGGCCTGCATCACTGGCTGCACATACGCCAGCGTCTACTGGGAAGGGGGAAATGACCGTATTACCCACCTAGGCATCCAGGTCTCTGGCGGGCAGCACTACCACCGCCCGCACCACACGCCCTGCTAGTGACTGCACCAATGGCAGTGCATACGATAGGGTAGCAGGGGGAAAACAAACCAGAAAGGAGGGGAGAAACAGAGTATAAGCTGGAGGGGAAGGAACATGGGGGAGGAGGGCTAGCACGGGTGAAAGGAAATGGTAAGCAAAGGTGGACTCTAATGAAGAGCAGGGGGGGAATTAGGAAAAGAAGGGTGGAAAAATAGGGGAAGCAAAACGGAAAAATGATGAGAAGCAAGGGAGCGAAGGCGGGACAGAGAGGAAGAGGGGAAGTGCGGAAGAGAGGAAGGGGGCAAGGGAGGAGATTGGTCGAGGTAGGGAACAGGGGGCTAGAAGAAGATTGGATGAGAGAGGAGATGGAAGGGAGGAGAAATGACGAGGAGGAGAGAAAAGGGAGGAGGTTGGACGGGGGAGGAGAGGGAAGGGAGGAAAATGGACGAGTGAGGGAAGAAAATGGATACGGAAGGAGAGTGAAGGTAGGAGAGGGGATGGAGAGGAAAAGGGGCAAGCAGAGGGGGGAAGTGAGGGAGGGAAAGGAGGGGATGCTGTGGGGGGGAGGACAGGAGGGGATGCAGGGAGGGGAAGGAGGGGATGCAGGGGGGAAATGAGGGGATGCTGTGGGGGGGGGGGGACAGGAGGGGATGCAGGGAGGGAAAGGAGGGGAAGCAGGGAGGGAAAGGAGGGGATGCGTGGGGGGAAAGGAGGGGAAGCAGGGGCGGAAATGAGGGGATGCGTGGGGGGAAAGGAGGGGAAGCAGGGGCGGAAATGAGGGGATGCGTGGGGGGAAAGGAGGGGAAGCAGGGGCGGAAATGAGGGGATGCGTGGGGGGAAAGGAGGGGAAGCAGGGGCGGAAATGAGGGGATGCGTGGGGGGAAAGGAGGGGAAGCAGGGGCGGAAATGAGGGGATGCGTGGGGGGAAAGGAGGGGAAGCAGGGGCGGAAATGAGGGGATGCGTGGGGGGAAAGGAGGGGAAGCAGGGGCGGAAATGAGGGGATGCGTGGGGGGAAAGGAGGGGAAGCAGGGGCGGAAATGAGGGGATGCGTGGGGGGAAAGGAGGGGAAGCAGGGGCGGAAATGAGGGGATGCGTGGGGGGAAAGGAGGGGAAGCAGGGGCGGAAATGAGGGGATGCGTGGGGGGAAAGGAGGGGAAGCAGGGGCGGAAATGAGGGGATGCGTGGGGGGAAAGGAGGGGAAGCAGGGGCGGAAATGAGGGGATGCGTGGGGGGAAAGGAGGGGAAGCAGGGGCGGAAATGAGGGGATTCCTGGTGGTAAATCCGTGAGGCGAGCAGCGCGTTACTGGTGGCTGCAGTAGGATGGCTGGCACGCGCGCGCTTCTGGACTGAATTTCGATGGAGCGCGCGTGCTTGCAACCGCGTGCTGTTTGCTGGGCATCTAAGCGTCACATGCGCTCGCTGTGCTGGCGCGCCGCGCGGTATGCAGGCCTAAACCGTATTTTTTTGCGGCGCGCGTCTTGCTGGCAAGCTTCGCTCTGCTGAGCGCGCTATGCTAGCGCGCGGACGGAATGCCAGCATAGCGCGCGCAAGTGCCGCGCGCGGATGCCAGCACAGCGCGCGCAAGTGTTGCGCGCGGAATGATAGCGTAACTGGCGCAAGTCCCGCTCACGGAATGCCATCATAGCTGGCGCCAGTGACGCGCGCGGAATGACACGACGCACACGGAGTGCCACCATCGCTGGCGCTAGTGACGCTCGCAGGCGTCGCCTGTTCTGCAAATGGCTAAATACTCACCCGCGTCTATGTATGTGGTCGCGCTGCTGGCCTAGCACCCTCCGGCCTGCTGTACCTAAACTAGTAGCTACTAGATGCGTATTCTCCGTAGTGTGATGTAGAAGGCAAGTTCGGTGACGGGAGTTTTTTCCCATTTTGTGACCCACAACCTACCCAACCCTGTTCCCTTTACAACTGAAGCGCTCCAGTTTTTCGCCAACACTCTCGCTATTCTGTTTACATTTTCGTTGAGGCGAAATCGCCTGGCACACTGTGCAGAAACAACAGTGCTGCCAAATGTAGACTCCTGCTTTAAGGAAGCCTAGGCTTAGGAGCCTAGGCAAGGAGGGATCTAGAAAGTTGCACCAAGGGATGGAGAGAATGGAGAGGATTCACTATGGGAAGGAGGGTACAAATAGAGATGAACAAGAGCAAATGGTACACCACCTAGAGCAAATGAGATGTTACCTACACTGCAGTCTACATTGCAGAACAGTTATACAGAATATATATATCTATATTCCAACAGGAAATGCCGAGGCGGAGGTCCGGAGCGCGGGTTACCAACCGAACCGTGAGGTTGGGTCGCGGCGTGAACAGTGGCAGGAACAGTGTCGAGGCGAGTGTTGCGAATGGTAACGGTCTACCGTTGAGTGCTGGTGGCGGGAACAGTGCTGTACGCGCTGAGCAGGGACGCGAAGTAAGGAAAAGGAATTTTCCTTACACAGTTCAACTATTCCTTTTTTCTCAATACACGTAAAAGACACATGCTGTACGTGTACCGCGCTATAGCTCTAGATGGAGTAGTGAGACGGTCGTTGCCCTTCCACCCTCATTATTCAACCCCGCCCTGCCCACAGCTCGATTCTTGATTACAGCGGCGAATGCGTTGCGCACCCATGAGCGGCGGCGGTAACGGTAGCAGCGACGGAGGCGGCGGCGGAGACGGCGCGGTGAGTAACGCGGCGAGGCCGCGTGTGTGCAACGTGGGGTTGGCCGTGGAGCAGCTGCACGCGATGAGCTCCAACGACCTCATGGCGCTCGTGCAGCACGCGCTGCGCGATGCGCCAAATCAGACGGATAACTTGCCACGTCAGCGAAAGCCGCCAGTGGACTTGCCGCCGATTCGGTTGTGGGACAGGCGCAGCGGCGTGAGCACGCATGTAGGCGCCTCGGCCTTGCCGCCCTCCTTCCCCGTCGTTTCCTTCTCTTGTGCGCCGTCCATGCTTTTGCGCCTGATTACCCCGTTACTCACCGCGCTCCCTCCTGTCGAGTCGACTTAAAAGCCACCCCTCAGGTTCTCTTCTCACCCCACTCCATTTCGCTACCCTTATTTGCACGTTTGTCCGTATGCGCATGTGTGCATGCTTGTGGGCGTAGCATGTGTAACCGAGTGCATGTATGCATGTGCATTCGACCCATGCATGTGAGTGAGTTGGCTGAGGGCATGCATGGGTATCCGTTGGGCATGTGAGCACGAGTGGATGCGTGCATGGATCTGATGTGGACATCCGTGGCCATGCATGTGCGCGCATGCATGCATCATGCCACCATGCCAACATGCGGACTCACACATATCACCAGGTGGATCTACCTCTCCTCGCAGCATCGCTGCCTCTCCACCTCCTCTCCTGCGCTGCCCTCGCCCTCCAACACGCCCGCTCGCCCTCCGCTCCTCCCCCCAACGCTCCCACACACACTCCCTCCTCTCCTCCCCCAAACGCCCCCTCCCACACACCCTCCTCTCCTCGTCCCCTCGTCACCCCTCCCTGCCACCCTCATGACGACCTCCCTCGGGCCAAGCGCGCACGGCTGGACGGGGCGGAGGGGGTGCGCGTAGAGGTGGGGGGTTGGGGAGGGGAGGCAGGCGGGATAGGGGAAGGCGGGACTGAAGAGGTTGGGATTGGAAGAGGCCCGATGGAGGGGTGTTTTGGAGGTTCAGGGCGGGGGAGAGGGCAAGGAGGGGAGCAGAGTGAGGAGAAGGGAGGGAAGCAGGGTGGGGTGCGGGGACTGGGGCAGACACAGGGCGAGGGGAGTGTGGTAGTTGGTGAAGGGAAGGCAGCAGGGCGTGTGGTGGGAGGGGCAGGAATGGGGGGACCGAGAATGGGAGGAAAGGGAGAAGCGATGGTGGAGGCAGAGAGCAATCAGGGGCGAGCAGGCGAGGGCGAGAGCGAGAGGAAGGAGGAGTCGTGCTGTCGAAGAGAGTGTGGGGATGAGTGCGAGCCAAGGCAGGTGAAGCAAGAGAGTGATGTAACTGCTGCCGCTGGTGCTGGTGGAGGCGAAGATGTAACAGCAGTTGCTGTTGCTTCTGCTGCTTCTTTGAAAGATGCAACTGTTATTGCTCCTCATGGTAATGGTGCACGTGTTGTGGATTCTATGGCTGAGGACAGAGACGTAACGGCAGTCACGGGTGCCGAAGAAATCTTAGTACCTGCTGCTGTTACGCATGATGTGACAGGCTGTGGTGCTGCCAAAGATGAAACGGGAGCTGCTGCTTCTGTGAAAGATGCAACGGCTGCTGCAGCCAAAGATATGACAGCTGTTGTTACTGCATCTGCAACAGCAGAACCTTCTGATGTGGTTTGTGCTCACACAGACGCCACCACTCACGCCATTGCCACAACCCTCACTGCTGCAGCCCCCACTGCTGCAGCCCCCACTGCTACAGCCTCTGAGACAAATGGAGGACGAAGGGGGAGCGAATGGAGGAGACTGGGGTGAAGGCGGGCAGGAGGAGGGAGAGAAGAGGGGCGAGAAGAGAAGGTGTGGATTGGAGCCGGGGGAGGGAAGGGAGAAGCAGAGCAGCAAGGCAAGGAGAGTCGATGAGCAGGGGAGTAGGGTGGCAGGCGGGAGGGAGAAGGGCTATGGGGTGGCTGCCCGAGAGCAGTGTGGGATGGAATCTGAGCAAGGGTGGGGAGGCGAGAGGGGAGGGGAGGTGTGGCTGGCACACGTGGCCAAGGGGGTGCGCCTGCTGCACTCTCTCTGCGACCTCGCTACCCACATGCCGCGCCTGCACCAGCTGACTCTATGTGTGTGCGCGTGCGTGTGCATGCGTGCATGTGTGTTTGCGTGTGCGTGTGTATGTGTGCGTGCGCGCACGCGCGCGTGTGTGTGCGCATGCGCGCGTGTGCCTGTGTGTGCGTGTGTGCGCTTGCACGTGTGCGTGCTTGTGTATGTAATTGTGCATGTGTGTGTGTGTGTGTGTGTGTGCGCGCGCGCGCACGCCTGCGTGCGTGTGCATGTGTGTGTGTATGTGTGCGCGCACGCACGTGTGTGTGTGTGCGTGTGTGCGTGTGTGTGTGTGTGTGCGTGTGTGTGCGTGTGTGTGTGTGTGTGTGTGTGTGTGTGTGTGTGTGTTTGTGTGTGTGATGTGTGTCTGAGCGTATGATCTTGTGTGTGAGTGTGTGTGGGTGTGTGTCCTGGCCCAATATGTATGCAACTTTTCCTCATCCTTTTCGTGTGTCCAAGTTGCAACTGATATAGTACTGACTGTACTTCAAGCTGCTACACGTGCGCCGGTCTAGTGGCATGATGAGTCAATTCCTGACATGTGCTTATAACGGCGGTCTAGTGGCAAGGTGGGAACGCTTATAACCCTCCTTGAAGCATTCGTTGCTCTCATGCTCGCCCCTTGTTCGCTCCTCTCATTCACCTCTTCCCCACATGTACACAACCCCTCCCTCACCTCACAACCACGCCATGATCGCAGGTGCTCCTGGTGAGCACGAGTGTGCGGCGTCACATGCTGGACCTCGTCGTGCTGCTCACCCTTGCCCTCGCTGCGCCCCCACACCCGGTGGGTACCAGCTATGCGCCACCACACCCTGTGCGTATCTGTCACGGCCAGCCATGTCACACACACGGCATGAGCCACGCTCACACACATACTGGACCTGGTCAAGCTGCCCACCTTCGCCCTCACTGCACTGCCACACCCGGTGAGTGGGTACCCACTGCCTGAGATACACCGCTCATGCTGCTGCGGCCTGCCTCCTTCACGCCACCTTGTGAGAGGCGCCGCTACGTCCCGGCCTTACCCTTCCCTTGCGCTGCCAACCACCGCTGCCCCACTTTCTGCACTCTCTTCCGTGCTGTACTTGTGTGGTTGGCTAGTGCACCCACACCACACCCTACTCCACCACACCACACCACACCACGCGCCATTTGAGAACATTGCCTCGTGGCCGTATCCCTTCCCCATCATCATACCGTTGACTCCACTGCTCCTCTTCCAATGTATTCCCACGCCTCTTTGCGCTCCATCTAGCCCTCGTGCTCCTTAAACCCCACCCATTACCTTCCGACCACTGCTTCCTGTTCCGCCGCCCTTGCCACTGTGCTGCTCTTCTACCCATGCTGCCTGCAAGGCTGCAAAGCACCCCACTGTGCCATGCTGTGACAGCCTCCCCTTCCCTCCCCGACTCTCATTTGCGACTTGCAAGTTGCGAGTGCCACGCCACGTCGACGCGCTCATTCCACCATGCCATGCCATCTTCACGCCCTCCCTCCCCCGGCAACAGCTAGTTGGAAGGAGCAGGAGCGGTGGAGGGCAGAGTGGCGATGGCCGTGGTGGTGATGGGTGTGGAAAGGGCGATGGCAGCAGGGCAGATGCAGCAGCAGCAGTAGGAGGAGGAGCAGGCATGGGAGTAAGGGGGTGCGAGCAGGCACAGGTGGCAGGCTGTGTTGGTGCTGCCACATGTGCTGCTGGCAGTGATGGTGGTGGTGATTGTGGTGCTGCCGGTGGTGCTGCTGGTGGTGCTGCCGGTGATGGTGCTGCTGGTGCTAATACCTGCAGGGCTGCTCCCGATGGTAGCAGAGGGCAGGGGGGTGGTGGGTCAGCTGCTGCGAGGGAAGGCGAAGCAGGCACAGGCAGCAAGTGTGGGGAGGGCACTGGGGGGGATGCACAGAATAGCATGGGGGTTGTGGGTGGCAGTAATGGCACGCAGGAGGCAAGAGGCGTGGATGCAGCGACGAGTGCAAGTGGTAAAGCGAGGGCAGGTGAGGAAGCGAGGGCAGGTGAGGCAGCGAGGGCAGGTGAGGCAGCGAGGGCAGGTGAGGCAGCGAGGGCAGGTGAGGCAGCGAGGGCAGATGGTGCGGCAGGCAAGGATGATGAGGCATGCACGATGGGGGGGGAGGCGGGAGGGGAGAACGGTGGAGAGAGGGAGGCAGCATCGCGGGATGCAGCAGTTAAAGATGCAGCAGTGGGGGAGGCGGCAATGCGGGGGACGGCAGTGGGGGAGGCGGCAATTGAAAATGCGGCAGTGGGGGAGGCGGCAGTGGGGGAGGCGGCACTGTATGCAGGCACGGTAACGTCGTGCCTGTACCTGCTGCCTGCCTTCGTCACCCCCGACTGGATCGACACTTGCTCCGTGCTCGCCCTGCACCCCCTGGTATGTTGCTCGCCCTGCACCCCCTGGTATGTTGCTCGCCCTGCACCCCCTGGTATGTTGCTCGCCCTGCACCCCCTGGTATGTTGCTCGCCCTGCACCCCCTGGTAAGTTGCTCGCCCTGCACCCCCTGGTATGTTGCTCGCCCTGCACCCCCTGGTATGTTGAAATCACTTTGTAACCCCTTGGTGCGCTGCTCGCCCTGCACTATTGCTCGCCCTGCACTATTGCTCGCCCTGCTCCCCTCGTCCCCATGCTCCCCTCGTCCCCATGCTCCCCTCGTCCCCATGATCCCCTCTGCCCTATGCTCTCTTTCACACCCTACGCCCCATTCGTCCCCATGCTCCCTTCGCAATCCTTTCTGTCCCTCGCCCCATGCAACGAACATCCCTCCAGGTGGGGGCCTTCTTGCCGGCGGCCTTCTCAGCTGTCACCACCGCCTTCCTCCACCTGCACTCCCTGCTCTCGCCCGCCCTTGCCGCCTTTACCCTTGCGGGCAGGGGAATGATTGGAGTTGGGGGGAGGGATGGGGGGAGGGATGGGAAGAGGGATGAGGGGAAGGATGGTGGGAGGGATGGGGAGAGGGATGGGGGGAGGGATGGGAAGAGGGATGAGGGGACGGATGGGGGAAGGGATGGGGGAAGGGGTGGGGGAAGGGATGGGGGAAGGGATGGGGGGAGGGATGGGGGGAGGGATGTGGGCAGGGATGAAGGGAGGGCAATGCAAGAGGGCGGTGTGGAGTGGGGCTCGGTGCAGGGGGTGGTGCGGCAGTGCGAGGCGGCTCTGCAGGTGCTGCATGTGCTGTGCCGCTCTGATGGGCTGGGCGCCCTTGCACTGCACCACCAGGTGCGCCCTTGCACTGCACCACCAGGTGTGCCCTTGCACTGCACCACCAGGTGCGCCCTTGCACTGCACCACCAGGTGTGCCCTTGCACTGCACCACCAGGTGCGCCCTTGTGGTATCACTAGCCTCCCAATCTTTGGCCACACGTGCGGAATGGGCTCACTCCGTGTCGGTTCATCTGCGCCACGCCATGTGCACTTTGCTTGCTGTGCCCATGCAGCCAAACCATGGGCCCACACTTGCCCCTACGTGCCTCGTCAAGAAACCACCACTTTTCCCCCCTGTCCAACCGCTCTCCTCTCCTTTCCTCCCCTCCCTTCCCACGTCAGGACCTCATCCAGGGCGGGGCTTTCCTTCGCCTGCTCCTCTCTGTCCTTCGCTTGCCCCTCCCCGCCCTCCTCCCTCCGCCTCTCCCCCCTCTCCCTTGCCCGCCTTCCAACCCCACTCATCCCTCCATCTCCTCTCCCCTTCCCTCCGCCTCCCCCTCCGATGGCCCGTCACACCAAGCAGTGCCACCAGAGGCCCTGGTGGCAGCTATTTCTCGCTGCAAGAGCCGAGCCATTCAGATGGTCTGTGTCGTGCTGCCGCTGCGGTTGACTGTGCTGTGAATCTTGGGGTGCTTTTCGGTAATTCTATCCCGCATGTTCTGTTCTCTTTCCATCTTACAAGTTCGAGGCCCACTCATCTTCTATGACTTTTTTGTCGAAACCATGCGCCCCTCACTTCCTCCCGTCTCCCCTCATGTCACCTTCCTCACTCCCTCCTTCAAACCATCCCTCACTCATTCTCCTCCGCCCATGGCAGTTCCTCACAGTCAGTGAGGCAGACAGCTCCACCTTTCTGGATGACGTGGCAGCCAATCCAGCCTCGTTACAGTTGGCACACAGTGTAACAAAAGAGGTATCGTTCTTGTCACTCTGTTCACAAGAGAGCACAGCTCTGTTTGCTGCTTTCAAGCTTCAACCACCAGTTGCCTGCCTGTACCACTCTCCGGTGCTTCGTTCACACGCGACTCACCGGCATCTTCTGCATTCTCGTCCCAAACACTCCTCAACCCGCCCCAACACCCGTGCCCACTGCCTCCCCGCAGATCCTCTCTCTCCTGCACGACACGGCCATCGCCAACGTTGACCTCACAGCCCGCCTCCTCGCTCACCACACACCCCCCTCCTCCTTCACTTCCCCCCACGCGCGTCTCCCTTGTGGGCGCCTGAGCCTGAACGTGCTGCGGGCGGCGGAGGTGCTTTCAGATGACTCCAACTTCCGCCCCTTCTTCATGCTGCATGCAGTGCGTTGCCATGCTATGTCCCCATGCCCACCTGCCTGCGCTCTACGCCCCACCTCTTCACTTACTACACTGTATCGCATGGTCCACTGTACATGACCACGTGCCATCCATGCTCCACACCGTGCACTCTCGTGCCCACATGCCTGTGATCTCTCCCCTTGTCTGCAACTGCTTAACTCTATATAACCCTAGACCCCCTTGTCTGCCGCCTCTCTTTATCACCCTCGCTCTGCCTGCTTCTTCCTTCTGCACCTGCTTCCACCCGATACTCCTCTTCTGCCCCGCCTCCCCCCCTCCCTTCTCTCTCCTCTCACACCCCCATTCATTCACTCCCTCTTTGCCGGAAAGTCTCTGTCAAGAACTATCTCTCTCCACCCCTCTCCACCCCTCCCCATCGCCTCCCCATTCCATCCTCCCACCCGCATCGCCGCGGGCACCGCTTCTCGTGCTTGTGCTCGCCCTCAGCTCACTTGCCTCCACCTCATGATGCCTGCACGGTGCGCTCACCCTGAACCCCCACTCAATCATTCACTCGCACTCTGCATGCACCATTCCACCCCTCTCCACCCGTCCATATCCTCCCACACTCTTTGTTAGAAAACCTCTATTCTATTCATCCTGCATATGCTAGTTCGCTTGTCTAGAGTTAAGCACCCAAACTTAGTTTGGGTGTACAAACAGGAGTAACCCAGTTTGTAGGTTGGAACCCAACCTTGGTCCAATTATTGGACCCCAAAGGTTGGGTTGGGTAGAATTATTGGTCCCCTCCAATAATGTTGGCCCAACTCCAACTTGGCCAACATTATTGGACCCCACCAATAATCTCCCAACCCAACTTCTTGGTTGGGGTCCAATAATGCTCACCTAGGCTAGTATCCAACCCACTTCCTATGTATACCCCCATCCTCCTCAATCAATCATCAACTTCTTTGAGTTCTCAAGTCATCCTTCACAGAATTCTAACATGGTGTCAGAGCATTTTGGCTCACGCCCCTCACGATCCTAGGACCATGTGTCCTGCGTGTCCTTCCACGCGATTTCGCGGCGGTTTCGGTGCCGTCCGCCGAATCACGACCATCGAGGCCGTCGCGACCAGCAGCCGCGCGGACTCAATTTTACGGCGATTTCGGCACCCTCCGTCCGCCGCATCGCTACAGCCGCTCCCGTCGCCTCCGCCCTCGCGCCTAACGGCGCCCCGCTCCCGTCGCCTCCGCCCTCGCGCCTAACGGCGCCCCGCTCCCGTCGCCTCCGCCCTCGCGCCTAACGGCGCCCCGCTCCCGTCGCCTCCGCCCTCGCGCCTAACGGCGCCCCGCTCCCGTCGCCTCCGCCCTCGCGCCTAACGGCGCCCCGCTCCCGTCGCCTCCGCCCTCGCGCCTAACGGCGCCCCGCTCCCGTCGCCTCCGCCCTCGCGCCTAACGGCGCCCCGCTCCCGTCGCCTCCGCCCTCGCGCCTAACGGCGCCCCGCTCCCGTCGCCTCCGCCCTCGCGCCTAACGGCGCCCCGCTCCCGTCGCCTCCGCCCTCGCGCCTAACGGCGCCCCGCTCCCGTCGCCTCCGCCCTCGCGCCTAACGGCGCCCCGCTCCCGTCGCCTCCGCCCTCGCGCCTAACGGCGCCCCGCTCCCGTCGCCTCCGCCCTCGCGCCTAACGGCGCCCCGCTCCCGTCGCCTCCGCCCTCGCGCCTAACGGCGCCCCGCTCCCGTCGCCTCCGCCCTCGCGCCTAACGGCGCCCCGCTCCCGTCGCCTCCGCCCTCGCGCCTAACGGCGCCCCGCTCCCGTCGCCTCCGCCCTCGCGCCTAACGGCGCCCCGCTCCCGTCGCCTCCGCCCTCGCGCCTAACGGCGCCCCGCTCCCGTCGCCTCCGCCCTCGCGCCTAACGGCGCCCCGCTCCCGTCGCCTCCGCCCTCGCGCCTAACGGCGCCCCGCTCCCGTCGCCTCCGCCCTCGCGCCTAACGGCGCCCCGCTCCCGTCGCCTCCGCCCTCGCGCCTAACGGCGCCCCGCTCCCGTCGCCTCCGCCCTCGCGCCTAACGGCGCCCCGCTCCCGTCGCCTCCCCCCTCCCGCCTACCGGCGCCCCGCTCCGCCGCCTCGTCGCCTCGCCATCCTGCCCTCCTTTCCCCTCGTTTCCTCCCCCTTAAGGGCCATCCCGCCCTCCTTCCCCCTCGCTTCCTCCTCCTATGGGCTATCCCGCCCCCTTTCCCCCTCGCTTCATCCTCCTAAGGGCCATCCCGCCCTCCTTCCCCCTCGCTTCCACCTCCTAAGGGCCATCCCGCCCTCCTCCCCCCTCGTTTCCACCTCCTAAGGGCCATCCCGCCCTCCTTCCCCCCCTCGATTCCTCCTCTTAAGGGCCATCCCGCCCTCCTTCCCCTCGCTTCCTCCTCCTAAGGGCCATCCCGCCCTCCTCCCCCCTGGTTTCCTCCTCCTTAAGGGCCATCCCGCCCTCGTTCCCCCTCGCTTCCTCCTCCTCAAGGGCCATCCCGCCCTCCTCCCCCCTCGTTTCCTCCTCCTTAAAGGCCATCCCGCCCTCCTTCCCCTCGTTTTCTCCTCCTTAAGGGCCATCCCGCCCTCCTTCCCCCTCGCTTCCACCTCCTAAGGGCCATCCCGCCCTCCTTCCCCCTCGTTTCCTCCTCCTTAAGGGCCATCCCGCCTTCGTTCCCCCTCGATTCCTCCTCCTAAGGCCCATCCCGCCCTCCTTCCCCCTCGCTTCCTCCTCCTTAAGGGCCATCCCGCCCTCCTTCCCCCTCGTTTCCTCCTCCTTAAGGGCCATCCCGCCCTCGTTCCCCCTCGATTCCTCCTCCTAAGGGCCATCCCGCCCTCCTTCCCCCTCGCTTCTTCCTCCTAAGGGCCATCCCGCCCTCCTTCCCCCTCGCTTCCTCCTCCTAAGGGCCATCCCGCCCTCCTCCCCCCTCGTTTCCTCCTCCTTAAGGGCCATCCCGCCCTCCTTCCCCCTCGCTTCCTCCTCCTAAAGGACCATCCCGCCCTCCTCCCCCCTCGTTTCCTCCTCCTTAAAGGCCATCCCGCCCTCCTTCCCCTCGTTTTCTCCTCCTTAAGGGCCATCCCGCCCTCCTTCCCCTCGCTTCCACCTCCTAAGGGCCATCCCGCCCTCCTCCCCCGTCGCTTCCACCTCCTAAGGGCCATCCCGCCCTCCTTCCCCCCTCGATTCCTCCTCTTAAGGGCCATCCCGCCCTCCTTCCCCCTCGCTTCCTCCTCCTAAGGGCCATCCCGCCCTCCTCCCCCCTCGTTTCCTCCTGCTTAAGGGCCATCCCGCCCTCGTTCCCCCTCGCTTCCTCCTCCTCAAGGGCCATCCCGCTCTACTCCCCCTCGTTTCCTCCTCCTTAAAGGCCATCCCGCCCTCCTTCCCCTCGTTTTCTCCTCCTAAGGGCCATCCTGCCCTCCTTCCCCCTCGTTTCCTCCTCCTTAAGGGCCATCCCGCCCTCCTTCCCCCCTCGCTTCCACCTCCTAAGGGCCATCCCGCCCTCCTTCCCCCTCGCTTCCTCCTCCTAAGGGCCATCCCGCCCTCCTCCCCCCTCGTTTCCTCCTCCTTAAGGGCCATCCCGCCCTCCTTCCCCCCTCGCTTCCACCTCCTAAGGGCCATCCCGCCCTCCTTCCCCCTCGCTTCCTCCTCCTCAGGGCCATCCCGCCCTCCTTCCCCCTCGCTTCCACCTCCTAAGGGCCATCCCGCCCTCCTTCCCCCCCTCGTTTCCTCCTCTTAAAGGCCATCCCGCCCTCCTTCCCCTCGCTTCCTCCCCTTAAGGGCCATCCCGCCCTCCTCCCCCCTCGATTCCTCCTCTTAAGGGCCATCCCGCCCTCCTTCCCCCCCTCGATTCCTCCTCCTAAGGGCCATCCCGCCCTCCTTCCCCCTCGCTTCCACCTCCTAAGGGCCATCCCGCCCTCCTTCCCCCTCGCTTCCTCCTCCTAAGGGCCATCCCGCCCTCCTCCCCCCTCGTTTCCTCCTCCTTAAGGGCCATCCCGCCCTCCTTCCCCCTCGCTTCCTCCTCATAAAGGGCCATCCCGCCCTCCTCCCCCTCGTTTCCTCCTCCTTAAAGGCCATCCCGCCCTCCTTCCCCTCGTTTTCTCCTCCTTAAGGGCCATCCCGCCCTCCTTCCCCCTCGCTTCCTCCTCCTAAGGGCCATCCCGCCCTCCTTCCGCCTCGCTTCCTCCTCCTAAGGGCCATCCCGCCCTCCTTCCCCTCGCTTCCTCCTCCTTAAGGGCCATCCCGCCCTCCTTCCCCCTCGCTTCCTCCTCCTAAGGGCCATCCCGCCCTCCTCCCCCCTCGTTTCCTCCTCCTTAAGGGCCATCCCGCCCTCCTTCCCCCTCGCTTCCTCCTCCTAAAGGGCCATCCCGCCCTCCTCCCCCTCGTTTTCTCCTCCTTAAGGGCCATCCCGCCCTCCTTCCCCCTCGCTTCCTCCTCCTAAGGGCCATCCCGCCCTCCTTCCCCCTCGCTTCCTCCTCCTAAGGGCCATCCCGCCCTCCTTCCCCCTCGCTTCCTCCTCCTGAAGGGCCATCCCGCCCTCCTTCCCCCTCGCTTCCTCCTCCTAAGGGCCATCCCGCCCTCCTCCCCCTCGTTTCCTCCTCCTTAAGGGCCATCCCGCCCTCCTTCCCCTCGCTTCCTCCTCCTGAAGGGCCATCCCGCCCTCCTCCCCCTCGTTTCCTCCTCCTTAAAGGCCATCCCGCCCTCCTTCCCCTCGTTTTCTCCTCCTTAAGGGCCATCCCGCCCTCCTTCCCCCTCGCTTCCTCCTCCTAAGAGCCATCCCGCCCTCCTCCCCCCTCGTTTCCTCCTCCTTAAGGGCCATCCCGCCCTCCTTCCCCCTCGCTTCCTCCTCATAAAGGGCCATCCCGCCCTCCTCCCCCTCGTTTCCTCCTCCTTAAAGGCCATCCCGCCCTCCTTCCCCTCGTTTTCTCCTCCTTAAGGGCCATCCCGCCCTCCTTCCCCCTCGCTTCCTCCTCCTAAAGGGCCATCCCGCCCTCCTCCCCCTCGTTTTCTCCTCCTTAAGGGCCATCCCGCCCTCCTTCCCCCTCGCTTCCTCCTCCTAAGGGCCATCCCGCCCTCCTTCCCCCTCGCTTCCTCCTCCTAAGGGCCATCCCGCCCTCCTTCCCCCTCGCTTCCTCCTCCTGAAGGGCCATCCCGCCCTCCTTCCCCCTCGCTTCCTCCTCCTAAGGGCCATCCCGCCCTCCTCCCCCCTCGTTTCCTCCTCCTTAAGGGCCATCCCGCCCTCCTTCCCCCTCGCTTCCTCCTCCTGAAGGGCCATCCCGCCCTCCTCCCCCTCGTTTCCTCCTCCTTAAAGGCCATCCCGCCCTCCTTCCCCTCGTTTTCTCCTCCTTAAGGGCCATCCCGCCCTCCTTCCCCCTCGCTTCCTCCTCCTAAAGGGCCATCCCGCCCTCCTCCCTCTCGTTTCCTCCTCCTTAAAGGCCATCCCGCCCTCCTTCCCCTCGTTTTCTCCTCCTTAAGGGCCATCCCGCCCTCCTTCCCCCTCGCTTCCTCCTCCTAAGGGCCATCCCGCCCTCCTTCCCCCTCGCTTCCTCCTCCTCAGGGCCATCCCGCCCTCCTTCCCCCTCGCTTCCACCTCCTAAGGGCCATCCCGCCCTCCTTCACCCCCTCGTTTCCTCCTCTTTAAGCACCATCTCGCCCTCCTTCCCCTCGCTTCCTCCTCCTTAAGGGCCATCCCGCCCTCCTCCCCCCCCGTTTCCTCCTCCTTAAGGGCCATCCCGCCCTCCTTCCCCCTCGCTTCCTCCTCCTAAGGGCCATCCCGCCCTCCTTCCCCCTCGCTTCCACCTCCTAAGGGCCATCCCGCCCTCCTCCCCCCTCGCTTCCACCTCCTAAGGGCCATCCCGCCCTCCTTCCCCCCTCGATTCCTCCTCTTAAGGGCCATCCCGCCCTCCTTCCCCCTCGCTTCCTCATCATAAAGGGCCATCCCGCCCTCCTCCCCCTCGTTTCCTCCTCCTTAAAGGCCATCCCGCCCTCCTTCCCCTCGTTTTCTCCTCCTTAAGGGCCATCCCGCCCTCCTTCCCCCTCGCTTCCTCCTCCTAAAGGGCCATCCCGCCCTCCTCCCCCTCGTTTTCTCCTCCTTAAGGGCCATCCCGCCCTCCTTCCCCCTCGCTTCCTCCTCCTAAGGGCCATCCCGCCCTCCTTCCCCCTCGCTTCCTCCTCCTAAGGGCCATCCCGCCCTCCTTCCCCCTCGCTTCCTCCTCCTGAAGGGCCATCCCGCCCTCCTTCCCCCTCGCTTCCTCCTCCTAAGGGCCATCCCGCCCTCCTCCCCCCTCGTTTCCTCCTCCTTAAGGGCCATCCCGCCCTCCTTCCCCCTCGCTTCCTCCTCCTGAAGGGCCATCCCGCCCTCCTCCCCCTCGTTTCCTCCTCCTTAAAGGCCATCCCGCCCTCCTTCCCCTCGTTTTCTCCTCCTTAAGGGCCATCCCGCCCTCGTTCCCCCTCGCTTCCTCCTCCTAAAGGGCCATCCCGCCCTCCTCCCTCTCGTTTCCTCCTCCTTAAAGGCCATCCCGCCCTCCTTCCCCTCGTTTTCTCCTCCTTAAGGGCCATCCCGCCCTCCTTCCCCCTCGCTTCCTCCTCCTAAGGGCCATCCCGCCCTCCTTCCCCCTCGCTTCCTCCTCCTCAGGGCCATCCCGCCCTCCTTCCCCCTCGCTTCCACCTCCTAAGGGCCATCCCGCCCTCCTTCACCCCCTCGTTTCCTCCTCTTTAAGCACCATCTCGCCCTCCTTCCCCCTCGCTTCCTCCTCCTTAAGGGCCATCCCGCCCTCCTCCCCCCCCGTTTCCTCCTCCTTAAGGGCCATCCCGCCCTCCTTCCCCCTGCTTCCTCCTCCTAAGGGCCATCCCGCCCTCCTTCCCCCTCGCTTCCACCTCCTAAGGGCCATCCCGCCCTCCTTCCCCCCCTCGATTCCTCCTCTTAAGGGCCATCCCGCCCTCCTCCCCCCTCGTTTCCTCCTCCTTAAGGGCCATCCCGCCCTCCTTCCCCCTCGCTTCCTCCTCCTAAAGGGCCATCCCGCCCTCCTCCCCCTCGTTTCCTCCTCCTTAAAGGCCATCCCGCCCTCCTTCCCCTCGTTTTCTCCTCCTTAAGGGCCATCCCGCCCTCCTTCCCCCTCGCTTCCTCCTCCTAAGGGCCATCCCGCCCTCCTTCCCCCTCGCTTCCTCCTCCTAAGGGCCATCCCGCCCTCCTTCCCCCTCGCTTCCTCCTCCTTAAGGGCCATCCCGCCCTCCTTCCCCCTCGCTTCCTCCTCCTAAGGGCCATCCCGCCCTCCTCCCCCCTCGTTTCCTCCTCCTTAAGGGCCATCCCGCCCTCCTTCCCCCTCGCTTCCTCCTCCTAAAGGGCCATCCCGCCCTCCTCCCCCTCGTTTTCTCCTCCTTAAGGGCCATCCCGCCCTCCTTCCCCCTCGCTTCCTCCTCCTAAGGGCCATCCTGCCCTCCTTCCCCCTCGCTTCCTCCTCCTAAGGGCCATCCCGCCCTCCTTCCCCCTCGCTTCCTCCTCCTTAAGGGCCATCCCGCCCTCCTTCCCCCTCGCTTCCTCCTCCTAAGAGCCATCCCGCCCTCCTCCCCCCTCGTTTCCTCCTCCTTAAGGGCCATCCCGCCCTCCTTCCCCCTCGCTTCCTCCTCCTAAAGGGCCATCCCGCCCTCCTCCCCCTCGTTTCCTCCTCCTTAAAGGCCATCCCGCCCTCCTTCCCCTCGTTTTCTCCTCCTTAAGGGCCATCCCGCCCTCCTTCCCCCTCGCTTCCTCCTCCTAAAGGGCCATCCCGCCCTCCTCCCCCTCGTTTCCTCCTCCTTAAAGGCCATCCCGCCCTCCTTCCCCTCGTTTTCTCCTCCTTAAGGGCCATCCCGCCCTCCTTCCCCCTCGCTTCCTCCTCCTAAAGGGCCATCCCGCCCTCCTCCCCCTCGTTTCCTCCTCCTTAAAGGCCATCCCGCCCTCCTTCCCCTCGTTTTCTCCTCCTTAAGGGCCATCCCGCCCTCCTTCCCCCTCGCTTCCTCCTCCTTAAGGGCCATCCCGCCCTCCTTCCCCCTCGCTTCCTCCTCCTAAGAGCCATCCCGCCCTCCTCCCCCCTCGTTTCCTCCTCCTTAAGGGCCATCCCGCCCTCCTTCCCCCTCGCTTCCTCCTCCTAAAGGGCCATCCCGCCCTCCTCCCCCTCGTTTCCTCCTCCTTAAAGGCCATCCCGCCCTCCTTCCCCTCGTTTTCTCCTCCTTAAGGGCCATCCCGCCCTCCTTCCCCCTCGCTTCCTCCTCCTAAAGGGCCATCCCGCCCTCCTCCCCCTCGTTTCCTCCTCCTTAAAGGCCATCCCGCCCTCCTTCCCCTCGTTTTCTCCTCCTTAAGGGCCATCCCGCCCTCCTTCCCCCTCGCTTCCTCCTCCTAAGGGCCATCCCGCCCTCCTCCCCCTCGTTTCCTCCTCCTTAAAGGCCATCCCGCCCTCCTTCCCCTCGTTTTCTCCTCCTTAAGGGCCATCCCGCCCTCCTTCCCTCTCGCTTCCTCCTCCTAAGGGCCATCCGCCGCCCTCTCGCTGCCGCCGTCCCCCTTCCGCCGCCGCAGCCCTCCCGCTGCCGCCGCCGTCTCCCTTCGCCGCCGCAGCTCTCCCGCTGCCGCCGCCGTCTCCCGTTCGCCGCCGCAGCCCTCCCGCTGCCGCCGCCGTCTCCCGTTCGCCGCCGCAGCCCTCCCGCTGCCGCCGCCGTCCCCCTTTCGCAGCCGCAGCCCCCCCGCTGCCGCCGCCGTTCCCCTTCCGC